GAGAGAGAGAGAGAGAGAGAGAGAGAGAGAGAGAGAGAGAGAGAAAGAGAGACAGAGAGAAAAGAGAGATCAACTTATTTCACTCAATAACTCGTATTATACATCAAATTTTAACAATTTAATTGTTGAATTAAAAGTTCTTAATGTATAAATCAAATCTGTAAAGTTTTGAAAATTTTGAAAATTATTTAATACTGCATTTCATTAATTCAAATCAATATATAAAATATTTTTATAATTATCCATCAATTTGCATTAATGATATGAGATATCAAATATTTTCAATTTTTTTAAATTTGTAAATTTGATCTATGCATTAAAATTATTTAATTTAGTAGTTGAATAGTTAAAATTTGATATAAAACATCAGTCATTGAGTGGAATATTTATGAGGAGGGATTTACTCACTCTAAGACTAAGTCTACCTAAACTTACTCTACTCAATAATTCATGTTCTATATTGAATTTTAATTATTCAACCACTAAATTGAAAATTGTTAATATATAAATCAATTCTACAAATTTTAAAAAATTTAAAAATTATTTGATACTCCGTTTCATTAATTCAAATCAACATATAAAATATTTTTATAATTATCTATAAATTTAAGTTAATAAAATGAAGTATCAAATAGTTTTTCAAATTTTTTAAAACTTTGTAAACTTAATATATGTATTAAAAAAATTTAATTTAATTAACGGTCGGATCATTAAAAACTTAATAAAATCATTAAAATTGATGTATAATATAAATTATTAAATAAAATAATTCTAGTAAAACTTACTTTTAAAGTATAGTTATCTTTAACATAATAACAGAATCTCATTTGGCGCCGTGGTTAAGTGAGCTAGCATACTTGGATTGTTGTTCGGAACACGCATTAAACCAAAAGGAATAAGAGAGGTGTCTTATTTGATTTTTTTTTTTTTGACTGCATACACAAGGTAAGATTCAAATCTCTGACCTTGCTTAAGCGTTGATCAACCCCTACCGCTGAACTACATGCTTGGAGTTAAGAGAGGTGTCTTATTGTTACTAATTATATATATGAATTTAATTATTAAAATTATAAAATATTAAAGACTTGATTACAATTTCTTATAATTTAAGACTTCCTTTAATGATTTCCTAACTCACTAATGACTAACAATGTGTTAAAACTAAATTAAACTAGAAAGAATAAAGAGAGGTGTGTTAGTGTTACCCAATTTTGAAATGCAAACCAGACAAATCAGCAGCTCGAGTCAAAGTCAACCTCCATTTTTGCAGCTTCTGAATATCATCTTTGAATCTTCCACGTTCGTGACTAGCAAATGCTTCATTGTAACTCCCAGTTTGATGCCGCACGTGTGACGGATCTATATCATAAAACACAGGCAAAATATGCATGTTGTGTTTTGTGTAACACTCAAGAATATGGACAAGTTCATCCAAACAAAACGTTGAGGTGGCATAATTTTTGGAGAAAATAATGATGGATATTCTGGACTCTTGTATTGCTCTGCGAAGAGAAGGTTTGATCTCTTCACCCTTTCGTAGGGCATCATCGTCAAAGAAGGTAAAGATTCCCCTTTGACTCAAAGCGCTGTATAGATTACCGGTGAAACCAAAACGGGTATCTTCACCACGAAAACTAAGAAACACATCATAGGTGTGTCTCGATATAGAAGGAAAAGGTTGCTCCATAACGATATGAGACACACTAAACGCACAATGAGTAGGTGAAACTAAAGGAGGCTACGCTACACGCTCTATTTAACGAGGCTGCTTCATACAAATGAGATAAGATTTAGGCTCGTCATATCTAACCTTACCTTGTAAAATAATTTTTTTTATTTATATATAATAATGATTAATTAATATATCACCTCTATCCAGGGACGGAGCCAGGATTTCAATACTGGGGGTGCCATATAAGGGGTGCCATATAGTAATATACATATGAGTTTATATTAAAAATAGGGGGTGCCATATAGTAATATATATGTATATAAAAAAAAATTAAAATTGTTGGGGGGCCGTGGCACCCGTAGGTCCCCCCTTAGCTCCGTCCTTGCCTCTATCGTACTTTTCTTATACTAATCATGAACATATGTTTTTGAATAGTAAATTTAAATTTAATTTAATCTTACAAAATTAATTTATAAGATAAAAATTATTTATTTATTTATATATTTTTTAATTATTTTATCTCTAATTATGTAAGGTTTAGGTTCTTGCCAATAATATGAAATATAAATTTTAGATGAGTGAACATATACGAGATAATTTTCAGCATAAGGGTTGTTTTCAAGATTCAATTTTTTATTCAATTAAATAAAAGGAAATACGATATCATTCAAGCTATGCTTTTGTTTTCTATATTGTCTCGTCAACGTGAGTAAGTTTCCGTCTTTGATCATCACACTTTAAATTTCTTTTACTTTATTTATATTTTATTTTCCCTGCCGGCTCCTTTTTTATTTAATTCCCTCTAATAACCTAACTCGATCGTGTCGTCATTCCATCACTTTATTTTAGGTTAAAAATTTATTTTAATCCCTTATAATAATTATTTGTTTCAATTTAGTCTCACTTTTATTTTTGGTCTCAATTTAGTCTCTAATAAATTAATTGGTTGCAATGTCGGACTTCCGTCCAAATTATTTAAACGGAGTTAACTGTTAGCCATGTGAATGCCACGTGAAAGCTACGTAGATGCCACTTGGAAACTACATAGATGCCACATGGATATCAAATTTTGCCATGCATATGGAACCAGAACAGCCCGTTCTGAAACCGGAACGGGCCGTTCTGCTTGCATTCATGGTTTGTAAATTTTGCATCTGGAACAAACCTTTTCAGATGCATCATTTAACACCAATGCGTGCATCAGAACGGCCCGTTCTGAAACCAGTACGGGCCGTTCTGGATTCCAAAATGGGCTATTCTAGATTCAGAACGGGCTGTTCCGGAACGCCAACCAACACAGTGCATCAATGTGGTTCAAAAATCGAAAGCAAACCATTTACACATACACAATTTTTTTTATCTAAAAAATAATATATTTTAAAAAATAAAAATTATATTCTAATATATATATATATATATTTAAATTATCGTATGTATAAAATATAAATTTCGAGGAATTATTCATTTATCTTATATTTGTCAAACTTTTGTACTTTCTATTTATTGTTTATGTTGATAAAAAAATTAAAATTGTAAAAATTTATATCATATATTAAAAACATATTTATATGATAAATAAATTAAACTTAATTTTTATAGAATTTAACATATTTATTTATATATTTTTATTAGTGTTAAATTATTATTAAGTAGGTTTTTAAGATTGTTATGTAACCAAACATTTTAAAAAATGTCTATGACAGATAAAGATATAATATTTATAACATGTATTTTTAACAAAAATTAGGTTTAAATTTGTTAAATTATAATATAACATAAGTGTTGTATACCTTCAAGCATTGATCAGCCTTACTTCTTATATATGAAGCAGATTGGTTTCAATACAAGCTAGTATTATTATATTAATGGGAAATTTGCTCAGGAAAAATAGAGAAGGATCAGGGTGCATTGGGTTGATGAATTGAAGAGAACAATGGATATGTGAAACAAAGAATAAGGGGGAACAACAATGACTTAAAAGTGACCAAAGAGTGCCGAGTAATCACGTGTACTGACTGAGAGTAATAAAAGGCTTATTAAATGAAGGTTACAAAATAAAATTAAGTTGATAGGTAGGAACCTGGTGTGAAATATGAATTACATAAGTGAGAAACCTGCAAATTTAGAAAAAGGTGACTAGAGCAATTTGAACCAGTCCCAAAAGGACAATTGTATAAATTGGAAATTGAAATCCAGTATCTTAAATTCAAGTCTCTGAATCCCTAAATACTTCACACTTATGTGTGTATTCACTAGTGACTTCTAATAAAGTTTTAACTTTCAAAGAATTGACGTTATAGTAACACAATAAAATACCGAAAACAATACCTAATGCGACAACAATTTTAATAGGAAAAAAATTTACTTTCATGTATCATATATACCATGTACCAGCAGGTGCAAAAAATTCTACTTGAATTGCTCTACCTTTCACTCTGCAGCAATTTTCTCAAATTCTTCAAGTTTTGAGACTCAACTTTGATTCATGTTTGTGTTTCCTTTGCCAAATCATGTTCCTACTGCAAGTGAGATGCTTTACCTCTAGACTCATCTTTGAGTTTATTGTCTTCTGCAATGATGTTGCTCTTTGTTGAGTGTCTTTTATTCATGAATTACACTCAATGATATTGTCCGCTTTGAGCCTTAGCCCTAATGGTTTTACTTTTGGTCATTACCAAAAAGGCCTCTCAATCATTAAAGTATGTTTATGCTATATAAGTTGTTATTTTTTATGATATTTTATCAATGTGGGACTTATTTGTATCCCATTAATTTTATGGTATTTGTCTGAGGGGATAGTTTATGACAGTTATTATTATAAGGTTATTACACAAGCATACTCCACAATGATGAGATATTATCCGCTTTGGGCCTTAGCCCTCACGATTTTGCTTTTGGTCATCACCCAAAAGGCCTCTCTATCATTAAAGTATGTTTGTGCTATATAAGCTGTTATTTCTTGTCTTATTTTATCGATGTGAGACTTGTTTGTATCCCAACAAGAGTCACAGCCATAGCTGTGAAATTCATAACTATAACGTTGGAGGTTCCTTAAGGTTAAAGGAGCTTCCACAGCTATGGTTGTGAAGCCACAACTACAGCTATGAAGCTTACTTCACCTCGAAAGAGTTTTCACAACTATAGCTATGAAACTACAGCGCTGCAGCGGTGGGCTTAAAAATTACAATTCCTCCCCTGTTTTGAAGCTAATATAAAAGGGAAACGAAGGAACTTTTTAGGACATCACGAAACAAAGAGAGAAAAAGAGGATTGAGAGCACGAAGAGGAGAAAACAGGGCAAGAGCAAAGATCGGGAAGTTGGATCAATTGGGAACGAAGATCAACCCCTTTTCTTCATCTTTTACTTTATAATTTCTTATTTCACTCTTTTGATCTTGTGATGGTCATGTGTGGCTGAACCCATTGAGGATTGGTTGGATGTAACTACTAACTCTTCTTCTTCTTAAATATATGCATTTTAATCTCATTATTTGTGCTTGATTTTTTACTTAATGCTTGTAGTGGTTTGATCACCCGTTTTATGATTTTGGTTTTTGAATCCAGTTGGAAAACATTTTTGAAAACCCGAACTGAATCTTGCACCTAACCATCTCTTGTTCTAGGAATATACTTGATTTGGTTAGCCACCCTTGTTCAAGTCATTGTTCTCAATGCAAAGTGTTAAACTCAAAACATAGAAGAATCACGTTTTAAGATTGATCACTTTAGTATTCAACTTTGAGGAATCTTGTTGGATTACTAAATGGACGTGGAGGTAATGAGATTGAAATCATATTTATTTTAAGAAGATTTAAGAGTTAGCACGTGCTCCTGAACCCAATCCTTATTTCTCATAATTGTTATTACAAATATTATATTATCATTTTATTTTATATCACATTAACTCATTTGCAATCACATCAATATCTTTATATAAGTCATTAGAGTAAGAATTACTAAACTCTCAAATTCCTGAGGACGATACTGTATTTCTACAATGAAACTTGGTCTGCTTGCCAAGTGGAGTGTTCACAAAAAACCTCATCACTCTTGCTCTTACAACTAATGTTCCTTTTTGATATAGGAGCATAGATAATTGCTTTGATGGAAGAGATGTTAGCTTTAATAGCAGTGAGTTGCTCTCCTAAATCCTCTTTCATTTTCTTAATCGTGCTTAGCTTTTTGTGCAGCTCATTTTCCAAAGCCTTGGTTTTGCTGAACTGGTTCTTCTTAGTTTCTAAACCGACTTCTACTTCATCAACTTTATGCGACTCATGCTGTAGAGTCTGGACTCAATTTTCTCATGCTTCAAAGCAATCCCTGGTTGGATGAGTGAACTCCCTTGAAAGTTTTGATATCAGTGTTCCCATTTTTCCTTTTCTTCAAAGTTCTATTTCAATATCAGAACTCATTGGATGGAAAAAGCGATATTCTAGATTGATCATAAATATATGGTCATTCTCAAATGCAGAATGTATTACGCCTACAGTAACAAGATGTGGACTTTATTTGGTACTCTGTACGTGTATGACATGAATTTTGCAATACCAAGCTTAAGAGAACCACATAAACAAATATCGTTGATTGTAACAAAGAAATTGAAGTTTATGCGGAAAGAAAACTCCACACACAGAGAGGGAAATTCATTTTGAAACCAAAACATGGAGAGTTTCCCTTTCTAGAGAGGTCAAACCATTCGAGGATCTGTTAAGGCTTTTCAGTTCTAGACATGTTTCTTGTTAAATAGTTTTTGATATGTTTCTCTATGATGCTTACAGATGTTAAGTTGCGGTTCATATATTCAGAAACAATGTTCAATTTAATTCAACATTAGAATCATTATTTAATCATAAAACACTCTCAAATCAATAGAAGCATTCAATGGTTCATAGAATTTCATTAATCAAATGAAGAATAATACAGACAATCACCATCATATACAAAAGTAGTACTGTATCCTAAGAGATAATCAAATTTTGTGCCCCTCTAATCTTCTAGTTTTCTCCCCCTTTTTCCTCAATCTTCTTAGAT